GGTTTTTGTGAACCATGTGTGTTTGAGAAGTAGAATAGAGTTACTTTTGCTAAGTCAGGGATGATGTCCAAAGTAGAGAAGTTAAAACTTGTTCATACAAATGTGTATGGGTCAACATCAGTCTCATCATTGGGAGAATCATGATATTATGTCACATTCATCAATGATTATACTAGAAAGGTATGAATTTATTTTTTGAAGCAAAATTCAGAAGTATTTAATACCTTTAAGAAGTGGAAAACCATTGTTGAGAATGAACCAAATAAATTTCTTGTATTCTTATTATTTACTTTTGTCTTGTAGTGCATTTTTGTCCCCCTAACAACTAATATCAGAGTTGATGGTTTATGTGGTGACTGACAATTAAAGAGTGATTCTTGTATCAAAAGTCTTCTTGACAGTGGGTCAGGTAAGTTTGTCCTGTTATGATGAACAACGATACATGGAATGACCACTAGTGAGTTCGAAGAGATGTAACAATGTGAAGGGACTCACACTTGGGGTGAGATCGTTGTTGAGATTTAAGTCAAAATGCATGATGGGTAGTTACGTGTATGGGTATTACGTGCATGGGGCATGCATTACGTGCATGGGTTTCTTTCAATTTTTTTTCTGTTTTGTTCACGTTCTCTGTTCTACTCTGTTATTTCTATTGTATATAAACATTACAGTTTTTATACATCAATAATATGGAATGTACTTCATTTTCTATCTGTAGCTCTCCCATTTCATGGTATCAGAGCTTTTTACGGTCCAAGGACGTGAGTTGTGTGTGCCTGCAACCAAATCAGACGCTGTGTGTGGTGCAGTTTAGTGAGAGTGCATTTTTTCAACGAAGTTGAAAGAGTGGTGTCTTGGTTTGTGGTGTAGCATGGCTGATATGGGTGGGATGATACAAGGGGGTCTACCTATCTTTGATGGTAGCATGTTCAACGATTGGAAGATTAAGATGAATGCGATCTTCATCTTTCAAGATGTGGCTGAAGTTGTTGAACATGGTGTTTCACCACCGGGTGCGAGGGCTACTGAGGATGATAAGAAGGCTTACAAGATTCAACAAAAGTTAGATGGCAAGGCAAGGTACTTGATCTATCAATGTGTTAGTTCACCGATCTTTAATAGGATTTCCATGGCGGGCACAACCAAAGAAGCGTGGGATATCTTGGTGGCTACGTATGGTGCGGGGGATAAACATAAGAAAGTGAAGTTACAGGCTCTGCGAAGGCAATTTGAGTTCTTCATCATGGAAGAAAGTGATTCGGTGTTTGGGTTCCTCAACAAGGTTCAAGAACTTGTTAATGGCATGCGTTCTTGCGGTGACAAAGTGTCTGAGCAGAATATCGTGAACAAGGTTTTGCGGTCACTTCCTCCAAGATTTGATCATCTTGTAATTACTATTGAAGAGACGAAAGATCTGGATGCACTGACCTTTCAGGAGCTGCAACATTCGCTCGAAGCTCACGAGTTGCGGATGTCTGAGCGGAGATCTTATCAAGAGCAGATTCTTCATGCAAGAACAAATGGAAAGCAGAAAAGAGATTCCAAGAAAGGAACTAAGACAAAGAAGAAGGGAGATTCAGATGAGCAGAAGTACAAAGACCAGAAACAAAATTCTGGAGAAGATAAAGAGAAGAAGTATGACAAGAAAAAAGTCAAGTGCTATAACTGCCAAAAATTCGGGCATTATGCACGAGACTGCTGGGATGGTGACGGAGCCAAGAACAGACCAAAGAAGAATGCGCGAGTTCATCTTGCAGAGGAAGAAAATTCTGATGAAGAGGCTGTCATGTTGATGGCGGAGACAGATGCGAAGCTCGACGGTGAAAATTTGTGGTACTTGGACTCTGGGTGCTCCACGCACATGACCGAGAAGAAAGATTGGTTTGTGCAAATAAGTGATATAAGTCAAGAAAAGATACGTTTCGCAGATAATAGTTCTCTCAAAGCAAAAGGAACTGGTAGAGTTGTGTTGCGAAACAGTGATGACAAGGACGTGATAATTGAAAATGTTCTATATGTTCCCGGGTTGAAATCAAACCTTCTGAGCTTGGGCCAGTTGATGCAAAGAGGTTTCAAGATGACACTTGAAGATAATTCTTTACGTGTATTTGATCAAACCCAGAAGCTGGTCATACATGCCGGTTTGTCCTCCAATAGAACCTTTCAGGTTAAGATGGATGTTTTGAAGCACCAGTGTTTTGCTGCTGTCAGTGACAAGTGCGAATGGCTGTGGCATCTCAAATTTGGACATCTTAACTTTCGGGACTTGAGAGAACTTGGACAGAAGAAAATGGTAGTTGGTATTCCTCATATGTGTGTTCCAGACGAAGTATGTAGAGAGTGTATGGAGTGCAAGCAAACGCGGAACAAATTCAGTAAAGAGGTATCATCGAAAACTTCGGAGAAATTTGAGCTATGGTGTTGGCATTGTTAGTAGATATATGCAGAGCCCGAAAGTTAGCCATATGAATACCGTAAAACGTATCTTACGCTATTTGCGTGGAACGTGTAATTTTGGTATAATGTTTCCATGCAAGAAGCCAGGGGGTGAGATGAAATTGGTGGGATTTGCAGATTGGTGTGGTGACAGGGAAGATAGAAAAAGCACTGCAGGTCACATATTTTACTATGGCGAAGGACCAGTGTCCTGGAATTCAGTCAAGGAACCCGTGGTTGCTCTCTCCTCCTGTGAAGCAGAGTATATAGCTGCTGCACAGGCTGCATGTCAAGCTGCATGGCTCAGGATGCTGTTGAAGGAGCTGAATGCAGAATTGGTCCAACCACCAACATTGTTTGTTGATAATAAGTTTGCAATAGACTTAGCTAAACACCCATCGAGCTCATGGAAAAAGCAAACATATAGAAATGAGGTTTCATTTCTTGAGAGAGCGAGTTAATGATAAGAAGCTTGAAATAGAACAACTGCAGTCGATGAAGATCAGAGTGCAGATATCTTTACAAATCCTTTGAAGGCTGCTAGATTTTGTAAACTCAGAGAGTCTCTGAGAGTTGTTCAGTTTTGACTTAAGTAGGCATGTTGAGATTTAAGTCAAAATGCATTATGGGTAGTTACGTGTATGGGGCATGCATTACGTGCATGGGTTTCTTTCAGTTTTTTTTCTGTTTTGTTCACGTTCTCTGTTCTACTCTGTTATTTCTACTGTATATAAACATTACAGTTTTTATACATCAATAATATGGAATGTACTTCATTTTCTATCTGTAGCTCTCCCATTTCAATCGTTAGGTAATTTAAGTGTGAATCTAAGTCACATATTGAGTAAGAATAAGGAAGTTGAGCAACATATAAATAAGAAAGACTCATAATCTAATACCTTAAAGTTTTAGGTTGAAGGTGATGCTAATCCATTATGTGAGTTAGATTCATGTCTTATTAATGTTGTTTCTCCCTAATGATTCTCCTCGAAAGAACCAATATTAAACTTTTTTTTTAATAATTTCAAATAAATCTTTAATTAAAATCTAAAAAACTTTATTAAATAATAATAATATTTATATAATGATAGTATAAAAAGATTACAATATTATTTTATAATACATTTTATTAACATATGTAGTAATTGATTTTTTAAATACAAGTTTTTTGAATATATTTGTATTTATTAAAAACTATTAAAAATTTTATATTTAAAATTTTAATTAAAACTAAAATAATTTTAAAAAGTAAAAAGTTTGAAAAAGAAAACAAAATAGATTTTAAACAAACAACAATTAAGAAATCTATTTATGCATAACTGATTTTTCAACGTTCAAGAATTTAAAATTCAATGTCAGATAGCGCAGAAATTAATTTGGTGTAACCTATTACCCACAATATACAATAATTTGGAATATTATATATAGTAAATAAAAAAGAAGGTGAATTATTTGAGTGAATAAAAATAAAAATATTAAAAAAAAAGTCAATTAATAACTGATCATTTATTTGTTTTTATTTAAAAAAATTAAGAAATGATAAGCATGTAAATAATTTCTACACAAATTCTTCTAATGGACATCCATAGGAGAAGAAAAAGCATCAGATTCCACATAAAAATGGAAGCCCCACATAATATTGAACTTTTACAGTGGAGAATCTTATTCACATTCATGTCTCTATCTTATTCAAGTCATCTCATTCTTTTCTCTCACATCCATGTTGTATTCTTTTTATATTATTTTCATAGATTACCCTCTGAAACAACGGGTATTATAACGGATTAACTATTAATACATAATATATTCTATTTATTAAAAATTTAGTTTTAAATAATATATATATATATATATATATTACTTTTATATCTTTTAACATAATTAAAATATCCTTTTAAACTAATTTTATTTTAATTTATATTTGTTATAAATAATTTTTAATTAAAAAATATTTATTATCCATTTAGATAATAAATTTCATATAATTATTTTTTATTTATTTAATAAAATTATATCATAAAATGTTATGGTACAAAATTATCATGTTATTCATAGTTTTTAGTTCAAATACATTTTTAATATAAAAAATTAATTTAACTGTAATTTTTATAAATAATTTTTTTGAAATATCAGAAGTTTATTTTTATATTTTATATAAATTTAATTTTTTTTTATTTTTATCTATTTTTTAAAATAATTATTCTATTTTAAATTATATATTAATTTATATTTATATTTATTCTTATTAAATTTTATAAACAAAAAATATTTTTATCATTCATTGATTTACTGTTTTTTTAATTAATCAAATCAATTTTATCATCCATAATCTTTATATTTATTTATTTTCATTTTTATATTTTCTTCTCTGAATCTAAATCTAAGTCCTTTCACCCTTCACTTTCTTTACTTCTTCATTTCTTTAAATTTATCGATGTATTGGATTAAAATCTGATCCACTAAATGAATGAAAAGGAATAGTTTGAGTGAATCCGATGCTTGTGAATGTTTAGTTTGAAAAGCAGGATTCCCTTCACCACATTAACATTTGAGAAGAACAACCAATGGAACTTGGAGAAAACAGGAGGAGGAGCAGATTTTCTTCTTATGAGAGAGTTGCAGCCATAAGCTTGGTGCTTCTAGCGGTGGCTTCTCCTCTATATATAGACCATACATCAGATGCTGAATTAGAAGATGACGACCAATCCATAAACTTTGCGTTTTTCTTGCCCTTCCTGCTCTTTCTATTGATTTTAGTCATCGCTTTATCATCTTTTCTTGACCGCAACTTTACCAGGTTTGATCCACACTGGATTCATAGAGTTGGTGGTTCTTCTGGAGGTATTATCTTCATTCTTGTCGTCCTATTTCTTGTTTTGAAGTGTAAAGCATCTCTGTAACAACAAGCTTGCATACTATAACTCTGTAGTATGATATGCAGCAACGTCTTTTTCTCTTGTGTGAATGAAGAAACACACCTTTGTATTATTATTGAACAATTAAGATTATAATCAAACTGGATTCATAACTGTTTTTTTTTTCCCTAACGAGCTGAATTACAAAACAAAAATCAAGTTGATCCCTTTTTCCGATTGTCCGGAAAAAAAATCAAGTTTATTGTGCTTGAATCTTCTCACATTAAGAAATTGGGTTTGGAGTTGAGAGGGATAATTTAATCCACGTTCGTGTACCGATTTTACATCTAAATATAAATATTATAGTACTAACATTATCTTTCTCTTCTTCTTTTCATATCACACAATTTTTCTTTTACAATTTTTTTTTCTTCTCTCACGTTCCACTCATTTACTTTCTTAATATTTTTAACTAGTTAATTATTTATTCTTTATTTTTTTTAATATTGTGTATTGATCTTAGAAGTATATAATACTATTTTATTTCAAGTTTGTCTTTATTTATTAGGTTTTGTTATATGTGATATTATTTGAATTTTCCTTTTCTTATTCATCTTTATTTCAAATTAAATAACTGTATTTATCTTTTATAATCTATACAAGTCTTATTAAAAAAATTTATTATTGTAAAACAGGACAGAGAAGGAAAATAGTTAAAAAAAATTATACAGTATTAGTAGGAGTTTTTTTTTTTTCAATGGAAGATGAGACTAAAATATTAGGATTAAATAGACTTAAAATAAAATTTAGTTGGAACTCATTTCTATCAGCTTTAAAGGATAACTAGTTTTAAAAGATTGATAATTTCTATCACTTTTTCTTAATTCAATAAAAAATGATTTAATGAATATTTTTTTATGAATTATATATTTCATATTTGCTAATATTTTAAAATGATAAACCTAAGAAATAATTAATTTATTAATATGTCTATATTTGAATATAGTTTTTTTATTATATATAAATAATAGCAATGTTACGAGTATTTCACGTTGATAATATCTATATGAAATAAAACAAGTTTTTTAGATAGATATTTTAATATAAAAATAACATTATATATATATATATATATATATATATATATATATGAAATAAAACAATTTTTTAAAATAATTATAAAATTATAAATATTTATTTAAGTATGAAAAAAACACAAAAAATAATTTATATATAATTTTTTTAAAACAATACGAAATTGAAGCGAAAAAAATCTAAAATCCAATAAAGACGAGATAAAGATTGAATTTCTAACTTCAATAGATTTTGGGACGTGGGACTAAAATGATTAAGAAACTCAGCGGGGATTGAGTGTTGGTGAGCCAAAATTTGTCCCATTGCATTGTCATGCCTTTGGTTGAGGTTAAGCCGAATAAGATAAACCTAAAGCTAAGTCGAACATATAAACATGACGTTGTTATCCAAACAATATGGTAGACAAAGGAATATGAAAAAGATGGTTTTGATTTTTCATTTAAATTTAGGTTTTTGTTTCTCTTTATTATGGGAATTAAAAATTGGTTGAAAACTCACATGTAAATTCTTTAAAAATTATAAATTATTAACACGCTCAGAGAAGGAGTCTCAATAAATAAACCACCATTATTTGAAGGAGAATATTATCAGTTTTAGAAGGCGAGAATGCAAATGTTTTTACAAACACTAGATTATGGTGTTTGGGATGCTATACTCAATGGTCCCTACATTCTGATGAGAATAACAGAGTCTGGAGTTGTTCCAAAGACTTTTGACCAATAGACGCCGGATGAAACAAGCGTGCCCAATATGACGTATAAGCCCGAAACGCTATTGTTTCTGCCTTAACTCGTAATGAATTTTTCAGGGTCTCACAATGCAAGACAACAAAAGAAATATGAGACACTCTTGAAGTGACACATGAAGGAACAAATGAAGTAAAATGAGCATGTAAGAACACACTCATCCAGAAGTATGAATTATTTCAAATACAACAGAATGAAAGCATCATGGATTTCCAGACACACTTCACACATATAGTAAATCACTTGAAAACATTAGGAAAATTTTTTGACAATGAGGAGTTGAACATAAAGATCTTGAAATCCTTAGACAGGAAGTGGCAATCAAAGGTCACTGCTATTACAGAATTAATGGATCTCACAGAAATGAATATTGCTACTCTATTTGGAAACCTGCAAGAGCATGAGATAGAACTACAAAGGTTAAAGAACGGTGAACAGAACCAAGCCAAGATGATAGCTCTAAATGCAGTAAAAACTTCACAGGATGAAAATGAAAATGAAAGTAAGTTTTCAGATTCTAATATATCTCTTTTTGTTAAATAATTTTCTCGTTTTATGAAGAATAGGAAAAAGAGACAACAAAGAAAAGAGAAAATTAATAGGTACGAGGCTATGGATGTGGAAAACTTAGCCATATCAAACCAGACTGTCCGGAACTTAAGAAAGATAAGAAAGATGTGAAAGAGAAGAACAATATTTATAAGAGCAAACACAAAACTTATATTGCTAGGGAGGATAATGATTCTTCCACAACACAAGAGAGTTCTTTCGAAAGCAGTGATGGAGAAGAAGAGACAAATCTTTGTTTGATGACAAAAAGTAATGATGAAGCTTCATCACAAGAAACCTCATCACAAGTAAGTAGCACAAAATCCTCAAATGCATATGATGAGTTGTTTGAAGCTTGTCGCCGCCGTCAAAAGAGGCGGTCGGAGCGACACGATGGCTTGGTTTGACTCGCGTTTTTTTTTAAAGAAATGGTTCAACTCCTTTAGGTTGTCCGATAACCGGACTGGACCTAAATGCGAGGTTTTCGAAAAGGTTCGAGGAGTCGCTACCAATATTTTTACCAAAAACATTGGAAAAGGAAAAGAAGGTGATGGTTTTTAAGAAAAACCAACTTTGGTCATTACAACCAGAGTTAGGTAAGAGAGTTAGTTATGTGTGGGGAAGGTATTAGCTTCCCCACAATATCCCTTTCGGGTTCCCTATGATGGACCATTTTTTTTATAAAGAAATAAGAACTTTAAAACTACGCTTTTACCCTTATTTATTGATTACAAAAATTAAGTTATCGACTACATAGCCCATAGATAGTATCTTAAAAACAATAAAATAGAGAAAGAGGTATGGAAGAACCTTCAAAGCAAACTTTTATATAATATGCTCTTGAAAATGGTGCTTTTTGGTGAATCCCACACTCTACAAAGCAGCTCACTCTTCTCTCGAAGTACTTTAGAACGCTTCCTAAGAACTCTAGAACTCTAGAAAGGCTTTAGAGAGATTTTAGGAGAGTATTTTGAGAATTGTGTAGTTGGAGAAGTTGTAGAATGGTGTGAAAACGAGGTGAAGGTCTCCCATTTTATAGGAATTCGCACCAGTCAGGTCGGGACCGACGTCTCGCCTAACAAGGTCGGGACCGCGGTCGTCTCAACTTTTGAGACGGCGAGACGACCGTTTCGCCTTTGGAAAGTGGCGAGACAATAATCTCGCCAAACGAGACGGCGGTCTTGCCTTTGGCGAGTGGCGAGACGGCGGTCTCGACCCTTTGGGTGGAATTTCTTATTTTTCGTGTACAAAAATCCTTCATATTCTAATATGGGGCCTATTGATCAATCCTAGGGACCTTTTAGGCCTTACCCATCTTCGAACGGAGGTCTTCTGCTCTTTATTTTGAGACTGGGCAAGATTTGGGGTCTATAGCTGCCCCCCCTTCACCGACTAGCCGACTGTTGGCTCAATATGCCAAAAAGATCAGTTAGAGGGTGAAGGAGTTAATCCTCTTGCCCGGTTGTCCTTCGGTTACTTTCCTCGTTGTGGTAGTCGACCTTCTGGACACTGAATGTGATCCTCCGGGATGCTCCTTTGATGCAGTAGCTGACCCTTTTGGTTGAAAAGTCTGATTTAAGCCCTATTTTGTAAGGCTTGATGAGTACGCACCCCCATCTGGTTTGACAAGTATGAACCCTCGTCTGATTGTTGATATCGGTTTAAGCCCCCTTTTGTAAGGCTTGATGAGTACGTACCTCCATCTGGTTTGACGAGTACGAACCCCCGTCTGGTTGTTGAAATCGGTTTAAGCCCCCTTTTGTAAGGCTTGATGAGTACGCACCCCCATTTGGTTTGACGAGTACGAACCCCTGTCTGGTTTGGAAGTCCACTTTGTAGGACTGGTGCGGCTTACTGATTTTGTTCATGCGTAGGTTTTGAAGTCTTTTTCTGTAAGACTTCGTCTAGTTTTGAACCCCCTTTTGTAAGGCTCTTGTGAGTTTGAACCCCCACCAGGTTGTAAGCCGGCGAGCCCCCTTTTGTAAGACTCTGCCGATTTGAGGAATCCTTTTTTGTAAGACCCTCTTAATTAGTCCCCTTTTGTAAGACTTGATCTGGTTTCGAACCCCCTTTTGTAAGGCTCTCGCTATTGATAATCTTGAGACTACAGAATACTTTTTCTAGTAGTTGATCCTGAGGCTGATGAGTATGAACCCTCATCTGGTTCTGAGTCATTTGTTTTAGACCTAAAAATGTGTTGGCGTCTTACTGCTTCTGGTCATGCGTCGACACCATGGGGAATAATTTTTGTTTGAAGATTATTGTAGTCATCCGGTGCGTCGGGGATTTTTTGCTTTTGGCTTTTTCTTTAGCCATTCAGCTTCTTGACTATTAGAGATTGGATTTTTCCGACTATCATCCAACTTGTTTGATTGCTGGGGATTCTTGATGAATGCCTCTTAGGTAGGCAGGAATCCATTGGGGATTTATTAATTTTGATGATGCCTCTTGAGTAGGTGGATGCTTCATTTGAATTGATGACTTTAGTGTTTGCACTATTTTGCCTTTGAATAGGTTGATATTCCACTTGGGGTTGTTGGCTCTTTGCCTGCCAGGTCTTGCCTATGCATAACCAAGCAACTCTCTGAGGATGTGAATTTGTAAACTGCCTTTGTAATAGGCTCACTGGGGATAATGTTTTCTCTTTTTTGATGA